GTTTGGTTTAAAGGCCTTTGGTCGTTTGAATGTTCACCAAACAAACGTCCAACTCTTAAGTCTGGAAAAGGGAGGAGACACGTTTTAGGTTTCCATTTCCTTCATATTTCCCACACTAGTGGAATCTTCTTTGTTCGGTAGCTTTATTATTTATTTATTTTAGCCTGTCGCTTTAAAGCGAGGGGGGCACTTCCGGGTTATGACGTCATCGTGGGTAAGCATTAGCATTAGCAGCTCGGCTGTCTGTTTAAAAAATTTTCGTGTATTTCTACTTTCAGCCTCGTTTTCTCGCTCCCACCGCCGGTATAAAGTTGCTTGGTGGAGTCTGGCAAAGTGTTGGGAGCTCTGAGGGGGGCTCAGCTCAGTTTGTGCTCCAGAAATTTCCAGAAATTAAAACTATTAATAACAGCAGAGGGCTGTTGGTGCTGCTTTAAGGCTTTGTGCTCAGCAAAGGCTCTGATTCTCACCGAGTTCAATAATCACCTGTCATGAAAACACATTGTTAATAAATCTGTTTTATGTTTTTATTTTGCACTTTGGAGGTTGGGTTTGAACCAAAAACTAAATTCCGCCCCCGTGTGGTTACTGTAAGAGGCATACACCTTAAAACTGTTGTTTGGTGTTTATTATGGATTCTTAATCTTAAAATGATCTACAGATCACATCTACATAAATGGCAAAACCATAACTTTGGCAAAGTTCAAGTTATTTAATTTCAAATTAATAGAAAGATAAAAATGTATCCCCTTGTATCAATTTTTTTTCTCTTGATAATTTAACGTCAGTTTTAAGTGGTTCAATAAAGAAAAAAGCACATCTGAAAATGGACGGTTACAAAGATTGGACTGAAACTAAGCCGTTAAAGCTGGATCTTAGAAAGTAGTAGATTTTCTTTCTTTTGTTAGAATTTTTTTTCTGCCCTTTTACAAAATCAGAAAAAATAAACAAATAAATAAAATATTTATCATCTATTATTGTGCCATAAATCAAAATGACCGTCTATAGTCTTCTGCCAGCTGCTATAAGGCATTATAGGGTTAAAGTAAAAGGCCAATGACCAAAAATAAACTTATTTGAAAGCCTGGAAAACTCTAATATGTCACAAGAGAATCTGTCTGCTGGAAACGAAACAGAAAGAAATGAATCAGTTGTTTCTATAAATGTTTCTCCAACAGATCCAACAAAGGTTTAGTAACTTTTCATGATCAGAGGCTTCTTTCTTTATTTGAAGAGTATTGTTTCTGGTTTTGGCCTCTCTGAGGGGTCCTCTAGTCTAACTAATAGTCCCCCATTTTTAACAAACGGGCCTCTAGAGCTGATTTCTGTCAGTCAGATGGAGAAGTGGTGAGCACAGGTAGTGGGACTGGTTTCCATATTTGATCTTTTTGTTTGTTTAACTCGGGTGGATTAGCTCTGTGGCTTAGTGCCGTTTGTCTTAAGAGGATTTCCCAGGCGAGGTGTCCCCCCCCCTGACGCCCTCCGTCTCTCGGCAGAAGCCCTCGGATCCGTCATGGCCTCTCCAGAGATCGCCTCCGTGTCCTGGGGCCACATGCTGGTGAAGGGATGCCCCTCCAGCTACAAGGACTGCAAGGTGTGGCCCGGGGGCAGCCGGGCCTGGGACTGGAGGGAGACGGGGACCGATGTGAGTAACCCCCCCCACCCCCCAGTGGCTCTGGCCCTGGGGTCGGGGGTCATGCTGCTGAAAGAATTCATTTTTAGATTCTGTTAACTCATTGACTGGCAGCCATTTTCAGAACAGAGAGTCCCATACTGCCAGTTTTTTGAGCATTTTGACTGATTTTTCAAGAGCCACA